TGATCACCGATTCTCGTCCCAAAGGCTCAGTTCCAGTGGGACGACCCTCAGGATAAGGAAGAAACGGAGATCCCGAAAATATTCCCCCGTAGGCTTCCGGGAGCGAATTATTCACTCTGAGTCAGTGAATCTATCTGGTATTGTGTAGGAGGGAGGAGTATCATGCTGTTGGGGAGGAAAAGAATGCGCTCGATACGAACTCGGATCGTATTGGAGGCGCATCCCGTTCCTTAGCTTAGGTCTCGAATTCTCCGCTCAAACCGTAGTATTCGGAATGAGCGAGTCGATCGGCTTGAATTGGTCGACGAGTTTATTGGTTGCCTCCGACTTATTCCCAATCATTGATCGCTCCTTCCAGATCTCCATTCCACCAGCCCCGGCTGCCAAGACAACGGGTTCTTGACCAAGTTCAGCGAGTTGCAAACCACACACGATTTGCATGTCGCGACCGCCCTCCACACATCCACCGTGGCTCTCTCGAATGATCCTCCAACTTTCGTCAGGTCGACAGTGAGGAAAATCAGCTTTCGGCCCTTCGCTTTCTTCTTTCTCAGATTCAAACGCATGGCTCCCGGACGCATCTCTTCATGACCGGTACGATCGACACCGATGTCACCTGTGGAAGACGATTCAATGCGAACTCACGAAGCCTCGATACTGCGATCCCTATGGGGCCAGCAACGATGTACATACCTACGGACCGACCAGTTTGCTGACGATCAAACCAACTCTCCGACACTTCCTCCTCCACCGAGTTCTGCATCGCACCGCTGTACTAACTTCACCGGACAGTGATCGCTGACGTAGCACTCTACTAGAGCTGTCAAACGATTTCGAGAACGACCTTTTATCGTCTGCTCTCATTATTCATCAAAACTTCATGTCTACACGCTTTGATTTATCCGCGGAATTATTCTACTAAGAAAGCCGGCAACCTCATCTGCACCTTCAAACAACAAGCACATTTTCACATGGCAGCACTTCGAGTACCCATTGTTGCGCATACAGCGCATCGGTCTCTCGGAGATTAAACATACAGAATGCGCATTCATCACGAACAGCGACGCGAAGCAATGATCTCGGCATGGTGGCCCGACGGCATTCCCACCGGCCGAATCGGAATGATACACCAGAGTGGCTCATATGGAGACTCCTATGAATGCCTGTAGATACAACAATAAGGATTTGAATCAGTATCTATTTGGCTCTACACTGACTTCTGCGTTGTCCGATCGCATTAATGATACGCGTTATCCTGACGCTTCATCATTCATCATCCGAGAGTCGTTTGTTTGAAGACATCGCTATCGGGCGCCGGGCGCGAAGCGCCCACACATATCGACAGGGGAAATCTTCGGATCGTTCTGGACCTGCCTTGGTGTTGCCACCGCGTGCACATGGACGGAGCCGAAAGCGGATGACTGGCTAGCTCAGATCACTGCTCAATCCTAGGCCGAATCTTCAATGGTGACGACGAACTCCAAGTCAGGCGCCGTGGGATCTTTGTGGACCTTCGATCCTCACACTTCCGTCCCCTCCCCACATCCTCCTTGTTGGGTTATCGTCTTTCCTTGCTTGCGAACGTCCTCATTCTTCGTTTCTTTTTGAAGAAGAAAAAGTCGGCCATCTTCGACGGGCATCCATTCTGTTCCTGGTTGCTTCTCGCTCGTGACGTGTCTTCCGTGATTTCTCCTAGTGCCTCCAACAGGTCCAAGCATAAAAATCATCGAATAAGAGGAGAGCATCAATATCAGCGGAATTTCTCGTGATAGGCGCAGAGGATGAGAGTTATCCGCCTCCTGCCCGAGAATCTCTTTCGGGGATTTAGTCCGTATCCCGTATTCATCCGTATCCCCCGTGAATGAGATGTACAGATATTAAGAGCGAAGAATCATTCCCCGCTGTAGTCTGAGCGAAGCAAGTCCCCTCGCTAGAGAATCGGCGGAGTCAAAATGGTTTGGAATGTCAACCTCGGCTGCCTGCTTGTTTGAGTCGCTGTCGCACACGAGCGCTCAAGTGGGTTTCCTAGGCACTCCGCTCGCGGTGAAGAACGAGATCATGGCGACGCTGAACGATCTTCGGAAACCTGACGGGGTTTTCTGACGGACATACCACGGGGACGGCTGCCTAAACTCAGGCTGTTGCAATGCTGGATTCAGACAAGGACGTTTTTTCAGAAATATTTCCGGCTATCGATGCTTCTCTGCAGCTCACCCACTCATCCGGATATTATGCTCGTCGTAGCGGGCGCATTCCGCTATTGGAACCCCTATCGCCAATCAAACTCAGATTCGCCAGCTATGCTACGGCCTACTATTCATTAAAAAGAAATTTTCCTTCGCAGACCTACTACGCAGAGAATTGTCCCTTACGGAGTGAGTGGGAGTGGAGCTCCAGCGGGCCGTTGTTGGTCGCCCATAAGTGGAAGACACCCCAGTGTCTAGATTGCAAGAACGGTCGGCCGTCTTGTAGAATCGGTACGGGTCCATGAAGGCGTGACCACGAACAGGAATGGAGTCTAGGCTTCCATGTGACGATATGACGAGACATATGGAATTTCCATGGACTTTTGTCCACCTAAAATTCGATTTGACCCCACTGTGCTACGCCTCGAAATCCTCAGGAGTCATGACCTTTATACCGGGGACGATTCTCGAGGACTTCGTTTTCGTTCAGATCATATAGATTTAGATGACCGTAGACCCCCTGCGAATCTGCCGCGAGAGCCACCGGTTCCCGGCCGCCTAGAGCAGCGGTTCTCAACCTTTTTCTGCTCGCGGCACCCTTCGGTTCTCCGATTTCTCCCGCGGCACCCCTTGCAGGAAGCCTCGGGAAAACACGAACGAATCGAGTCTCGAGGGGAGGGTCGAAAGGAAATGCAACTAACTAACGTTCACGATGCGCATTCGCAACGTGGAGGTATACGATAATTTCGGCGCGGAAGGAGAGCGTGCAAGAATGACCTGTCCGGGAGGAAAAGATTCGCCGATCGTCGAGAACATGGAGCCCGATCGTGGCACAGAATTGCGGACCGGCCCGGCTCACTGATGCGATTAGTCACATAGCCTTCGCGGCCTAAAGCGCAAAATTTGCTCCGTCTCCCCTTCATAAGTGACAGCTTTTCCAGATCGGCTAGTTCATATGTACATGTACCCCCAAAGAAAAAGCACGAGGGAAGCCTCGCGGCACCCTGAGAAAACCGTAGCGGCACCCAGGCTGAGAAGCGCTGGTCTAGAGGCACGTGATGAATCTCATTGTTCGGTGCTGGATTGATGGATCACAAATCGAAGAAACCCATGTTCCCGTAGAGATCATAGCTTTTGTTCGAGTATCGGGATGACGTCATTCAATAGGAGATTCTCTGATCATCCGCGGAAGCTTATTTTCGTTCAAACCCCTCCCTGCACGCGGAGGTGCGCGTTTGGGTACGGCAATCGATAACTGCGAAGGGTCAGACAGCCTGAGTGTAGATGGTAGCCCCTCCGACTCCGGCGGCCAATCGTGAGTGCCCAGAATGCTCATCTGAGGGCATCGAGGAAGATGAAGTGTGATGCGTTGCAGCCGGCAACGATAGAGCCTGAAGTCGGGAGAGGGTGTTCTCGAATCAATACTGCACAGACGGAATGGTCGTCTGCTGACGCAAGTTCCAGACCCTGAGGTGAGTTCCTGAGATCTTCAAAGTCGAGATTCTGGCTCGATTTTCAGCTATGGTTATTCGTGTGATCCTTTCGAAGCGACAGTGCTGGAGCTCCTCGACTTCGCTGCGAAAAAGGTACTCCGTCATCCACTGTTTTGAGTTAAGAACATGAATGAAGACAGACAAGGGACCTATCGAGTCATCAACTCTGGGAAGAGCTCTGTAGCTCAAAAAGGGTCCGGCAGCTTGCATGGGGTCGACCGGTCGTCGAAACCGAGTCGCGAGAGATTCGTCTGTCTATCAGCTCATTCCCGAGAGGAGTTCCCGTGCTCGAGCCAGAAGTTCTCATTCGCATGAAGAAGCTCCGGGAACAAACTTCCGGATCGAGGAAGAAAACTACCCTGGTCGTCGCAGTGACAATTTCCAGGGGTGACTGGTGCCCGCGCTCCAGAGCAAAATCTCGGCGGAGCTCCCAATGGAGGAACACTCTTGCATAAGCTCTCCGGCCGGCCCCATAATTCGGCTGAGCGTCGTCGTCGACAAAACTCAAAATAAGGTTCTCTAGATTCGTCCGTCGGCCTGACGCCAGCGAGCTTCCTCATCCAGTATCATCGAGTGAATTCAGAGGGAAGGGGTTCCGATCTTATACAATCCATAGCATTACGAGGGGAGCGCGAATGATCTATATCAGGGGTATCAAATCGCGGGCCAACAGGCCGAAGTAGCCCGCCGGGTTCCTTCTTTCGGCTTGCGGAGGTCTCCCATCCGCTAATCAGACGTCCAAGATACGTCTCGATTTTTGATCGCTCGTTTGAGCAGAGAGGATCCGGAGCGATTCATCGTGAGAAATGAAGAGGAGAGGGTACTCTCGCGTCTCAATGACTCCGAATCAGCTTCACCTAGGGCACATATAGATGTTTTTAAAGAAGGAAGGAAGTCCCGCGTGGCTCGCCGACCCCGTGAGCGTCGGGGTTTGAGTTTGTCACCTTTGATCTATATTCTCCTGTTCGAGGACGCTGGTCGAAAATATTGACGTGGGGCGCTCAGATGTTCTCCGGCTGATCTGTGTCGCCGGCTCGCAGCGTCTTCCTGTCGAAGCACGAAGAGGCGGCTCTCTGTTTCACCCCCTGTACCCGCTGCGAAGCGTTTGGATGCAATCGAATCCTCGCTTGCGATTCGCATCTCTCGCGGGCTTCTGCAGCCTCTTCTCGCTCTCGGGTCTGCGGCTTTTTCGGAAGCTCCCCGCGTGAATGAGGGAGACGGATTTTCGGGGGGAAGGGGAACAATCCCAGCGGCATCGGAGAATCGTCCACATTTTTATTTTACAAGTTCCCGTTTCGTTCAGGTTTCGGCTCGAGCCAGGATGATCAACTACGTTCTCGCTGGTTGTCTTCTGGTCTGTATTGCCGTGTCCTACACGAGAGCTCAATTCGAGATCGTGGACACCTCGTTGGCGTTGGGCGACGCGATCAAGTCGACTGTGAGAGATCTCCGTAAGACTGACGGAGTTTTTCTGCGGACGTACTTCGGCGACGGCTGCCTGAATTCCGGTTGCTGCAACGTCGGATTCAAGCAGGTAGGTCAAACAGTTCTTCTGCGGAAATTATTCTCTGATTCCATCGGTGTCCATCGAGTGTCCCCCACGAGCACGTTCTCGTCGTTGCACATCGACCCCGATCCGCCAACTCTCTCGCGATCTAAAATTCACGCATACTTCCTCAGACGTACTACACCGAAGAATGCCCGTTGTGGAGCTGGTTGAAGTGGAGCTCGAGTGGTCCATTGTTGGTCGCTCATAAGTGGATGACCGAAAAATGTCTCGAGTGCAGATACGGTGGACCGAACTGCAGGGTCGGCACAGCCTCCTGCACCGGAGACCACAAACAGAAATGGCACTTGGGCTTCCACACGAACAGGACGACGGCCTACGGGGACGTGCTATTCACAATCCAGAATCGCCAGTACCCTGACAGATGTGTGACAATCGACTCTGATTATGGATTGGTGCTGCGGGATTGCAGTAGAGGTCCGACCGTTCTCCAGCTCTACTACGTGGACTCGGACCAATTGCAGACCGCGATGTCGGCGTATCAAATGGTGGACGCTGGCCGCAGCCGCGTCAGTTCGATGCCCGGTCGCGATCGACTCGAATAATGGGAGGCTGTGGCCGACGAGCCGCCTTTATGTATCTCGGAGCGCTTTTGTGCACGACTGCGGTGTCGGATTGTCGTCTTCCCTATCTTGCCAACTTCGTTACCTTTCGTCACTTTTTGCCTAATAAAAAACCGGCCATCGTGGCCGGGCATCCATTCTGTTCCTGGTTGTTACTCGCTCGTGACGTGTCTTCCGTAATTTATTACTCCCAGTACCCCCGAGAGGTCCCAACATTGGCGCAGCCGGCACTTCCGGGAACTCTCGAGGTGCTAAGATGACGGAGAAACGGCATGATAATGAAAGAGCTTGAAACAGCACAACAGTCCGAGAGGGCGACAACAGAAGACAAGAAGAAGCAATTGAAGAGATCCGGCCTGGAGACTAAGGTCTTGTCTCCGGTCGGGGAATATCAACATGATTCGGCGAAAGCCACGACTTCTAAAGACTAGTTCGTTCCAGCGGCATGAAGGGCTGCTAAAGTCATTCTGTGAATAAAAAGCCGAACAGTGCCAGTGTTTTGAGAGCGTTGGGCCCCGACGAGTATGATCGCGCGCGGGCGAGGAATAGGTCTGAAGAACTTTCCTACACAGAGCCAGTCGAGCTCTTGACGATTGATCTGCGAACCTCAGAGGCAATAAGTTCAAATTCGCTTCTCAGACATTGCGTCATTTCAAATTCTTCATCCAGGGGGACAAGATCTCGATGCTCGACGGACAAAGTACATCGAATTGGTCAGCAAAGCCTGCGACAAAGACGTTTTCACGTCAAAACCTTCTTACTTGACTTCGAAACTCATGAGCAGAGCCACAATATCTATGCAAAGGCATATTTTCTGCATATTTGCATAGTCGCACATTCTCGCATATATTTCCCCATGTTCTTGCACATTAGATGCTTCCAGACGTATCCCTTACTTATTTCTGCATTTTCGTGCTGAGCCTATAGTATATCCGCGTTTTTTCTTGATGTCTGTTGTTTATGCTCGTCTAGGTTCCGAAAATATAATTTTGCCTCAAGACAGATCCACAGAAGTCTCGGATATCTGTGAACGGGAAACGTTCTCGTCCGCGAAGAGAACGGAGGATATTGGTGATGCTTGAGTTCTACTGCAAAATGTCTGAGGCTCAGACATCTGGCTCAGACATTGGTGGGAGAATCCGGACCGGAAGTATTTTCATCCGATGAGGAAAAGTGTGAGGACTGTTGAGTCCTCCTATATTTCGACTCTGTGTTATATTCTGAAACAAGTCGCGTCGTCTATAAAAGGCATCACTTTTCCATGTCGATACATTCGCTTACAACGACGAAGCAGTAATCATTCATCTCCTAGGACGGTCACAACAAAAAGATCTCTAGCAAAGTGTGACTGAGGACCTTCAAAGGTGCACGTAGGTTCAGGCTGACTCAGCATGTAAAGACCGCGAAGCACGAAGAAATCTACGCCGCCGGGAACCTACCAATCGGATCGGCTAATTGAGCTGATCACTACCACAGAAAGTGAATCTCGCAGGAGTCATTTCTCAAGCGAGCTTTGTGTGGCTCTTCTTGAGGATGATCTCCCGCTCGACAGGCTCTGCAATAAAAATCTGAAGCGTTTCCTCGAGAATTGGACGGGTCAGCATGTACCAACACCTTCCTTGCAACTAGATATGGTCAACGTATTTACGTTTAATAGGGTCCGTATCACGGCCGTGATTACGTTTCAAAGTTTCTACGGTAGATCTATGCGGAAACTCCTGAAGCCGTACGAAATATTACGGCAATGAACCACGGCTCTAGGAGACGCTCTCCGGCAGAGTTTCTTCCGGGAAAACGGTCATGTGTGGTCCAACAAAAAAAAGAGTATCATTGCTTCACTGATATTCAGGGGTGCTTTATATCATTGATGAACGAAAGGGAAGATTCTTCAGAAGACGAATATAGGATCGATTGCGTGAAGAATTTCCCCATGAAGTTCGCCGATGTGCCTCCCGGCGTATCTATTTCACCATTTGGGATGTTCAACCACACGCGGCAGTGTTTGAGGATTTCCTGTTCGATTCCCGAATTCGCTGGAGTTAGATCCTCGATGGCTTTCTCGCATTGCCACGCGAACTCCCCCTCAAAACGCTCTTGGAGTGCATCAGAGCGTGCCTCTTTCGGAAGAAGGTACCTTAGTAGACGCGATGCGATGCCGCGGCGCTAAAGAATTCGGCGACACGAGTTATACTGTAAGTGCCGGGCAAAGCTTCCTTGATATTCGTCGAGCTCCTCCAGAAGAGTCTGGAACGAATGAATTCGGTGATTTCTGTTCTGTCGATCACTCAGAGTTTCTGTCAATAAGAGTTTTTTTCATGATCCCTTCTCCCGGCCTCCCGCGATACCTAACTTGAGTACCGGGAGTCGGTAGGCTATGGCTTGAGTGCTACTTCGGCATTCACCCGGGAAGAATGGAAACTGGAAACCATGATAAAAACCATTCTTGAAGTGGACGCCTGCAGGGATCGAACTCAAGCTGCCTCCGACACGAGACAACGTCAATGTAGCTGGCGCAAATCTGCATGTGAAGTGCAGACCGCTTTAACCCCTCGGCGATCCGTCGGTGAAGAGAGCTCGGGAGCCGAGAGGAGCGCGTTTTGAACGGTGATCTTCTTCCAGAAGCGGTCGCAGTCGCAGCTCCTGGTGGCGTCGATACCTTGCACGAGAAACTCTGAGAATCGTCAGATCGACGTGCTTTCAGCTTCCGATTCGGACTTGTGTCGAGCTGAGACTTGTCAACTTGTCACTTGATAAGCCTGAATGCGCCAATGAGACCCGTTCGAGAGATGAGGAAGAAAATTTTGGACGAAGCTGGATAAATATGTGCTAGGATGAGGGTGAGGGCGAGGGTCAAGACATGGAGGAAGCACAAATTCAAGACGGAAACAGGTCTCCTGGTCATCAACTCAGTGATGATACCACATATACAATTTACTCTCATTGTTATGCGCTGATCCTCGAAAACGGATAGTACTGCGACCGTTGCTCGAGCCCTACAAGGCGATTTCGATGCGGAAATCGCTCGGAGCATCAGAATTTTCGACGTGAATGATCACTCCTGCTTTAAGTTCGCGCCAATCGTTCACGTTGAAGTAGAGGGGTCCTTCTCTACCTATAAGGCTTTCCTCCGCGACAACAGGAAGGGTCTTCAGTTTGGAAATATGAGGAAACGTATCTTGATACTGTGTAGCCGATGAAAATTTACGTCGAGATCATCATGCTTCATCCGTTCGATCCAATTCGGTGGACGATACTCCCAAAGATCCATCACGTGGCTCCCATCACCCATCACTTTGAGGAGCGCTCCCCACCTCCCACCCGCATCTATTCCATCTTTACAGATTCCGGCGATCGGGCACCTTGGTATTGGAAGCCTCTCTCTTCGACTAGACTCGAAAAAACGATGCGAGGGAGGCCTCCAAGGGCCGATCGAGTCGCTTTTTGGAGAACCGGGTCGCAATCTGTATTCTCCCGTATTGAACCTCTACATATCATATCATAGCGCATATTTCCCGCGCATTTTCTGCCTGTTCTCTGCATATTTCCTGCACATTCCCTGCATATTTTTCTGCATGAACTTAGTGGCCTATGAGGTACTATGTGGTACTTAGGTACGCTTCACTTCGATGAAGGTTCGAGGAGCACGTATTCAATTCAGTAGGGCGGATATCGTTCTCTTTATTCGTCTCGGAGGCTGGTGACGAGTAGAAGAAGTTATGTTTGACGTTTGGGCCGAAATCGAAAATGCTATTCGTTGATGGCCGGAAGCTTACGAAAGTTGAGTCGACTCCGAAGTCATGAACGTCCAAGAAGTTCTCTCCACGAAAAGGGAGCCCTTGTTCCTCGTGAACACTTGTTTGTTCGAGATCGGGAAATCTTATCAAGATAAGTTGTACTGTTGATGCATCAGCAAGCGAGAGGAGGGTTGCTCGGCCAGAGCAATGCTCCGCATAGTGCCCGATCTTATTGTGGAACGCACTAGCGCAATTCTTACACACGAAATCGATCACGGCACTTCCTGATGCCGACCGATCACTCGAAAAATAATGATCGACTGTATGGACGACACGTGTGGTTTGCTCAACAGTTACAGAAGAGGTGAAGTTTATCGCCCTCTATGCCTTTCTGGAGACGACGAAGCTCATGATCACGCGCAGGCTCACTACTCACTAACACCCTCCCTTGCGAGTGATCATCTTCAATGCAATCCAAGTTTCTCCCGACACATCTTGAATTTCTCTGACGGAACGCTCTTTGTCAGAATTTCAGCAATCATATCTCCCTTCGGCATATATTGAAGCTTAACCCATCGGTCCTCAACCATATTCCTGATGAAATGATGTCTCAAGTCGATGTGTTTCGTCCGTTGATGATGTACGCTGTTCGCGCTCAGAAGTATCGCTCCCTGATAGTCGCACCATAACGTCATGGGCCTCACAATACTTAATTCTGGCAAATCCTAAAAGTTTTGAATCCATTTAATCTCCTGACATGCAGCTCCGCACGACATGTACTCTGCTTCGCTTGTTGATAGAGCGATTGTTGGTTGCCTCTTGCTGGCCCACGAAACGCAAGCTCTTGCTTGGATGGATCCTCCTTGGGGTGGACTTTCAGTCTCACCATATCCATTCGACGGTTTCGATCCACTTCGATGATCGGTCAACAGGGAGTACACCGTTGCTGGCGTGGTAGAATTAATTGTTGCTCCAACGTTGGGGTCTCCCCTCCTCGCTCTCGTAACTGGGCCCATAACCTAATGACTGACTGTATGGACGACACGTGTGGTTTGCTCAACAGTTACAGAAGAAGTGAAGTTTATTGCCCTCTATGCCTATCTGGAGACGACGAAGCTCATGATCACGCGCATGCTCACTAACAAAAATGAAGCAGGCCGTCCTGCCGTCCTCGAGAATCCTGAGAGACGCGTTAAAGAGTTGCACTCTCGTTTCAACTGATCAGCAAATGCAGAACAGGTATGGATT